TCTTTTCACCTTGGCTGGACCTCTCTAAAAACACGCTCATAGACAACCTTTCTTAGGCAATTCAAAATTCTGCCAGGTCCATCACAGGAATTAGCTATGGTGTTCACTCATTTACTTTCTTAGAAGTCTTCTCTGAGTAGCATTGAGATTGCTGGTGAGGCGTTGATTTTGAAAAGTCAGTTAAAATTAGAGTTCATATTTTAAAGTGATACTAATACCGTAAACATTCTATTTAAAGATGAATTCTGTAAATGGACATGAATTAACCACATGGTTAAGGTAAGGCTATGAGAGGTCCTTTGAATGTTGTCCCACTGACTGGGCTGCCACCTTGAAATTCTTATGTATTCCAAAGATCTCATCTGTACTAATAGTTTCTTCAAGAGAACCAGAAATTTAAAGTCATTTGAAGTGTTGAGAGCAGAATCCTTGGAGAATTTTACAATTTCCCAAATCTTCATTCTTCTTGTTTCAAAAATGATTATTTAAGGTTCAGCTTTATCAAAACAATATAACTAAAACTCATTTTTATACTTGCTGTTTCTCTACTTTCTGTAGTATTAGCAATTATAATAAACACAAAAGTCCCAAATGAAGCCAGATGTGGTGGTGGGTGCCTATAGCTCTTGCCCTCTGGAGGCTGAGGCAGGAAGATGAACATTCAAGGGGAGTCTGGGCCCCAGAGTGGGGCCTTTTCTCAAACACGCATGGAGAAATCACAAGTAATTTCTGGGATAAACTCAATTGGCTTTTGACAAGTCAGGGGCTCGGTTGGTAGGAACAGGTGCAGGGAAGTGGTTAGACAGAAGTCGAGACAGAAAAGCTAGACTGTGCATGGAAAAAGATACCATAGGCTTGCTTACCTAGCCATAATTAATGTTTTCCTGTTGTATAGATTAAACAGACATGCGTATCGGGGATGTATTTATTCTTTGGCTATCCACTTACCCACATGTACTTGGTGCCTAACAGGTTACATGGCACATATGATGCTATTTGAATCTCTCTTCCACCCAAGGATTCTCCACTGCCCTTAATTTGTTCAAATCCAAACACTTTTGTAATTTAATTTAAGTTCATCGCTGTCCCCATGGACTTCCCTCAAGAGTTCAGCTATTGTTGAACAATTTAGATGCAGTTCTTGGGGCCTGGGGAGATGGCACAGCCATTGAGAGAGCTTGCTGTTTAGTTCCCAGCTGTTTAGTTCCTTAGTAAACTTGCTGTTCAGTTAGGTGGCTCATGATCACCTGTAACTCCAACTCCAGGAGATCTGATGCCCTCGGCTAGCTTCCCTGACACTTACTTGTAGGTGGAACACACACACACACACACACACACAAATAAAACTTCAAGTTCAATTCTTAAAATACTCCCTTTTTTGCCAACTTCCCCCAGATTCTTTGAGGTTCTGTTCCTGCACTGACTCCCATAGGTGCTATTCCCCCAGTGACATTATTATCTCCCCGAGGTAGGCTGTCTTTTTACTTCCCTAGGAGCCTCCCAGAATATAACTCCTGTTATGGACCCTGCCAAGGCAGCCACCTGCAGAATTTCATGGCATCAAGAAAATGATCGTTCACCAAACTTTTGACTGGCAATGGGCAAGGGGGTCAAAATATTACTAGGAAAGAAATAAGAGGAAATAAGGTTCTGCATCTTCAGATTAATTATCCTCTTTCCATGTTTACAAAGGGAGAACAGTAGATCTGCCTATAAGCTCCGAGAATCATAATTATCTCTGAGAATAGCATTGAAGCGAAGGGACTTTACTTAGAAAAGTAAAATAAGGCCTCAAAGAAAAATCTTGCTTATACTTTCTGGAAGCTCTCAAACACTTAACAGGCTAGATCATAGTGTTGCTAGTGGTAAGCAATTCTTCCCACTAAAGTGAACCACTGAGTGAGTATGCCCTGATTACTTTAATTGACTCCTTGAATTTTGAGTAGTCATTGCTGACTCTTGTGTGCCCTACCCATACGCCTTTGCCCAATTCCCTCCAAATGCAAGCCATGGATCTCATAGCCTAACCCCTGTAGACCTTGCACGTGCCATGTCTTGGGAAGTGCAGCAGGTGTGAACCCTGTAGGTACGAGGGATGGCTGGTCCTCTGTACCCACAGCACATCCTCAGTCACCTTCTCTTACCTTGGCCTTTTCATCCTTAGGGAAAGTGTCAGCAGAGTGTTGCTATGGTGACTTGACTGCCAACATTGTAGTTAGGATAAAATTCCCCCTAGTGGAAGAAGATAAAGCTATTGTTGGGGATGGTTTAAGACAATGCCCCTGCCAGGCTATCTCTCTCCACCTCACCTTTGTACTTTGTACCTCATGAGACTCTGGAAGCAGTGAGATGGAAAACCCGGTACAAAACCAGAGGCAAAGTGTTAAAGGTTTTGAACTGTTATTCAATCACCATGAGCTATATATTATGAAATTAAATGTTAATGATTTCAATCATTTTGTTGGAAATAAGTTTTTGTGTGCATGAAATCAAGAGCGAATATAAAATCTTCCCTCCCTCCCCCACCCCCACTTTTGCATGAAGATGAAGATGGCTAAAGATATTTGCAGGTAGCCCTGGGTAAACAACTGCACACCCAGAGAAGAGATTAGAGTTCTTTCCTCTGGAAACAGCACAGGGGGAGCTTAGCAAATAATGGGAGAGTTTTATCGAAAGCCCACATCTCTCCTGACTTCACTTTTTGGTATCTCCAGTGGCTTTCCTCTGTGAGGTGATTCTGTGCTAACGCGAATTTGTAAATGAGTTTCTTTCACTCATTCAGCTTTTCTCTTTGATGATAAAATCGTTTTAGAGAAAAATTCCACCTTTAGGAGAAGACAGAGAAGAACTGAACCCTGCTTCCTCCTGTAGGTGCCCTGTGATTTTTTTTCTTTGTCTCCAGACCAGACAGACACTGTTGGATGGTGCAATGCTTAACCACTTGGTGTGGTAAACCTGAGGAATGTCCGTTTCTTGAACCTTTAGTAAATCTCTCTAGTGAAAACCTAGGCAAGCACATTTAAGAAATGGAGACCATCCAGACTTCTTTTATTTCTTTTTCTGATAAGTTCTACACAAAAGGCAAGTACCAACGTGTTTTGTTTTCCTACTCTTTATAGACCTGAGGGTAAGGAGTGTTGAGCACCAGAGAGGGCCAGAGAGTTACCTGAAGGTCTAATAATTGCTCTTTGTCCACCATCACCACAGTTCTTAACCCAGCATCAAGTGTTTAAATTTAACCTCATCTCTTCAACCCAAGGTGTCCTCAACAGTTCTCAGCTGTGACTTTGTTAAAGTTCCTGCCCTTTCAAAGATTTAGTTTCTCTTTTATATAAAAACAAGCAAAAGGTTGAGATGTTTGCTATTAGTGCCTACTACAGAAGCTGGTTGGAGACTATAAATGGGTTAAGGCAACAGGGCAATGTTTGTTACTTTGAAACACTTGGTAATTGACAATTAGCATCCACCAAGACCCTCCAGTTAGGCCCCCAGCTGTGCACTGCTTTTTTTTTTCTTCCCCCAACTTTCACTTTGCCTTTCTCACTACCTACAATGTTTTTCCTTCTTCCCCATTAGCTAAAACATTCAGATAGAGCTACACTGTCCAAAAGAGACGTAGAGCAGCCCTATATGACGTTTGTGTTTTAATTGTGGCATTATGAAGGTAAAAAGAGACAAAATAAATTTTAAAAGTGTTCAGGATGTATTAATTTATGTGTATGAGTGCTTTGCCTGCATGCATGTATGTGGATCACTCATGTGCCTGACATCCCCTGGGACTGGAATTACATACAGGTGGTTTTGAACTACGGCATGAATCTGGGAATTGAACCCAAGCCCTCTGCAAGAATAAGTGTTCCTAACCACCAAACCAGCTCTCCGATCTACAGAAAACAAATTTTAGTAAAAGCATTTTAATTCTCTATATCCAAAATATTATGTCAACATGAATTCAATATGAAGATAAAATAAATGTTATATATTACAAAGGAGATAATTTTCATTTCTTCTTTAAAAGCCTGTGTGCATTTTGTACTTACAATACCTCTTCATTCTTGCTGGCTATGTCTCAAGGGCTCACTGGTCACGCGGGTTAGCAGTACATGGGAACTGGGGATGTGCAGTAAACAGCAACTATGAGTTCTTAATTCCAGAAGTAAATAAGTCCTGCCGATAATGGATGACATATATTTATAGCATGATGCCAGAGAGGATGCTAAGAATGTATATTTCATGTCATCTTCATGGCAGTACCCTTATCTGGGTCCCTGTATTTTTTCATTTTACAAACAGGAAAACTGAGACATAAATACATTACGGACCAGCTAGTAAATAGCAGAGCTCCTATGTGAACTTGGCTCTATCCATCTCCAGAGATTATACTGGCTTTGTGCATGCTGCCTCCTTGATTGAAAGACTAAATGACGACCAGCCTTCTCCACAAGGCCCTCAAAAGGACATGTGAAAATCCAGCACATTGACACAGACATACTTTATAAAGACTATGAATGTCTGTGAACAGAGTCATCATGGGCGTTCCCATGGTGATTCACACCGTCAGTCACCCTATAAAACCTGTATTTGTTTACTCGTGAACAGATTGCCAAGAGATAGAATCTCTGCTCTCCTGACCACTGGGGATGAGACTGCCAAGTGGGAGGATTGTTTAGGGAACATCTGGAAAAATGAAGTTCTTGCCGATGAACTCTCCCATGTGGGGTCTTTTCATCCTAGTCAAGGTCAAACAGGCAGAAGTAGACGGTCTCTAAGCAGCGCTTATAGCTGGCCCTAAAGATGATCTACTTGCTTTTATTGGCAGACACTTACAGTTGGTGACGTCATGGTTTGAAAGCAGGACCACTTTCAGATAGGAAATGTTAACTCACTTTTATGAGCACTGCTCGCAGAGTGAAAACGGTGTTAGCTACCGGTAGCCGGCAAGCCTCTTTTCCCTATGGTATTTCTGAACTGTTGCTTTTTTTTATTTTTAATCATTAAAGGCCAGATTTTGACAAGAGCTGGACCACCATCCAAGAGCAGCTGCAGATGGACTCCATGGTTATCAAAGGCCTTAATCCAGACACCAACTACCGGTTTGCTGTGAGAGCCATGAATGCCAATGGCTTCAGCCCACGCAGCCGTCCCAGCAAGATTATCCGAACCCTGGGTGAGTTCTGTGTCTGTCCTGAAGACCATGAACAACCATGCCACCGTGGTTGCCTCTCAAAGCCTCACTTGCCTAGGGTTTCTTAGTGCCCAACAGATGAATAGCCTGGGACAGGGCTCTCCTCGGGTTTCCTCCTGCAGCTTTTCCCCAGACCTTTGAAGGTTCCACTCACCACAGGGACGACGACTATTTCTGTTCCTAGGCAGCCAGGGAAGGTTTATTTTTGCATCGTCCTTGGGGAGTTTGTAGTTGGTTTTCGTTCACAATCACAGGGCAGTGGTATAGCAAATGAGATGTGCGGTCTCTCCCTGTCTCTCATCTTTTGAGAAAGTGAGCTCATCTTGGAATCCAAGGAGGGGGAAGTAAGATTCCCCCGACTCTAGATTGTTCAGGGTCAGTGGTTAAGGATTTTCAGCAGAGTGTGGTGGACCCCTCTAATCTCATGACTTGGGAGGCTGAAGCGGGAGGATTAGTCTTAATTCAAAGCCAGCCCAGGCTACTTACTAAGAGTCTGTCTTAAAAACAAACAAACAAACAAACAACACAAACAAAACAAGAGGACCTTCAGGTCACATCAGTCCTTCTAAGTTGTGGTCAACAAGTCTCAGAAAAGATGTTCTCATGCTACCACGTGACTTGGGGGACTAAGCTGACTGTTTATTTAAGTTCTCATGGTACCTCTGGGGATCCGGAGGAAGCTTAGGGCAAAGGGGAGCAAATAAACTGAGGATTTTCTTCATGTCTCTGGTTTGGGGGTTCAGCAAGCTGTCACGTGATGTCAAAAGTCATACTTGGCATTAGAAGGGTTCAAGGAAGCTAGCCAAGTGCAGCCCAGGCCAGCTTCAAAGTCTTCATGCTTTGGAACTGGAGTCACATGTACATAAACCTAGAACCCTGGGTAGTGAGGTCTCAGAAGGGAGGCCCTAGCACATTTTCCTTTGAAAGCTCTGTGTCTTTGCAACTGAGCCTGTGAATTCTTCCAGAAGAGCCCTGCAGCTGCTGCAGGCCCTGTTTATCCAAGAGAGGGGCTCTGAAAGGGAAGCCTACCCTGGGTAGCTAGTTTCCCACTGACTCTCACAAAGCCCTACTTTCGTTGTTAGGATCTGAACAAGCACCCCTCCCCCCCCCCTGCCAGTCTCCTCATAATATGCCCACATAGTTGCCTTCCAAGGCTAGATCCACTAGGGCCCACAAGTCCTGGGGATTCCCGCTCTTCTAAACATCCTATAACCTTTGATGGTGAAGTTACCTTCTTCAAGTTGAATTTTTGGGGTGTGCAGAGAGGTCTCACCTCTAAAACAACTCCCTTTTTTCCTATTTCCCCACCACACAACAATGACAATGGGACAGCCATTGCTTCCCCCTTCTTCAGAATGGAGAAGCTGCCCAAGCAGACTCTTAAAATGAAGCCCCTCCTTTCACAAACCACGCCAGCAATTCTGCTTCACGGGCAGGCTGCCTACTATTCTTGCTAAATAAGTTGTCTTCTGCCATCTTGAATTAGCCAAAAAGAGGGAATAATGGGAGCTAAGGGCTCACTGTACTTCCTGTTAGGCTGTCTTTGTGTATGCACTGTGTGTGTGTGTATGTGTGTGTGTGTGTATGTGTATGTGTGTGTGTGTATGTGTGTGTGTGTATGTGTGTGTGTGTGTGTGTGTGTGCTCACTTCTCCTTCACAGCCTTTCATCTGTCTACAGCGTCCTCTACCTCAGGGTGAAGAGGGGTGCCGAACTTGGCACAGGCTGACCTTGGCCTTGACCTTGGATGTGGGAGTGTGCCTTAGATTAAGGAACAAATGGGTGGGTGGGGAGAGCATCAAGATTTTCTTTTTTTAAGATGACTTACTGATGTGGTCTTTGAGGTTCTGATCATTCTTTTCCCTCCATTTCTTGATCCTATTTTTCATGGAAAAGGTGGGAAATGCAAACAAACAAAGAAACAAGGTGAGGGATGCAAAAGTTCCTTACAAATATGAAACATTTCATTCAATTTTTGTCTTCCAGAGAAAGTGAAACCTTGTAATTTCATAGTAATTGTGTGCACAGAAGGATGGCAAACCCAAGCAAGATAAACAAACAAACAAATGATAAAACTAAAACTCCCATGAGCTCTCCTTATGAGAGCTTCTATTGTTGTTTGGGATATTTGTTTTGGTTTGGTTTGAAGACCTGATTTCAAATAGTTTAGGCTAATCTCCAATTCCCTATATAGTGAAGGATGACCTTGAGATTCTGATGCCCTTCCTGAGTGCTAGAATTGCAGACATGTACCACTTACCCAGTTTGGGCCATGGTGGGTATTAAACCCAGGGCTTCATTCGTGCAAAGCAAGCACTGGAGCAACTGAGGTATATTCTCAGCCCATTATATTAGCAAATATTCTCAAATACTTAGAGATCTCCTGCTCCCATGTATGTATGATTGCTCAAATGAGGAGAACGGGAATAGACTTTATTAGAGCAGCCATTGCATGGAGGCATATGAGAATGGCTATAATGTTTCCGAAGTAAGGCTTTGGTTGTTTTCTTCCTGGCTACACTACTGTCCAAAAAACCCCTTTAATCTCCCACATTCTTTTTCTTAATTTAGTATCAGTTTTAAACTTTACTGCTTCCAAAACGCATTTTTCTTTTCCATACAAAAGTTAGCAAACATGCCAACTAGCATTACCTGAGTCTCAGGGAAATTTGAAGGGTTAGGGCTGACACTGGAAAGCCTGCTGCACGCCAGGCCTTATGCTAACCAGTCAACTTGTGTGAAATTCACTTATTCCTCCCAGAGACCCAGGGTGGGAGGGACAGCGCCCACTGCTTATAGATGGAGAAAAACAGCATCTCAGAAAGAGTAAACGCTTTCTCGAGTCTGGTACTTATGGAGGCAGGAATGAAGCTGGGCTTGCTGACTGCGTAGCTACTACCCTGAGTACGATTCAGATTGATGGAATCTTTCTGCTAGCATGAAGTAGCACAGGAGAGGTTAAGCAAGGTCGGTGATTCAGTTGGCAGGTGTTGGGCGATGGTCTGTGTAGAATCTAAGTTCTAGGAGGTGCAGCGTCACGGAATCCAGCTTTCAACACGTGTGCTTCTTTCCTTTTTCCTTTCTTTATAAACCAGTTCTATAAAGAAATATTCCTTTATTGCAAGTCTTCTTTATGTCCCTTGTAGTCATATTTACAGTCTGTGTTCCAGTCCTGATCCCCGATAGCCGTGACCATTACCTTGAGAATGTTGTAGAAGTACAGTTGTACCGTATAGACTTGGGATGTCTTAGCTGCACTTGATCCAGCAGATAATGATGGGGGGGAGGGGGATCAGGGCCCAGCCTCTGCTGGGCCAAAGTGAAGAGAGCATGCTTTGGGCAGAGCCTTGATAGGTGTGTGCCTCATCTGCTTCAGCCACTCAAAAACAAGATGGAATGGGAGAAAAAATAATAATTAAGACTCTAAGTATCTGGTCCTCTTCTGAGAAACAGGGTTCTTTTGATCATTCTGAATGATCGAACTATCCTGAATTTACCTCAGCCCTCTCATGGGAGGCTTCTCACCATTCTGTTCCCATGTTGTGTCCATGAGAAAATAGAAAATTGAAAAATAAATGAATAAATACATTTTTAAAAGACTAAAATTCTTATCCCCATCCTGCTGTATTTTTTTTTAATTCCAGGCGAGAGACACCAAACAGCATTATAATCTGCCTTTGATCTCATAAATGACTAGTTGATAGGCCAAGCTGGGGACCTTGTAGGATGTGCACCCTGCCCATCTGTTGGTCACTTACCAACTGAGCTCCATTCTTAGCTCAGTCAGGAAGCACCGGGCAGTCAATAGAGGACACAAATAACAGTCAGGGCAGAAGTAAAGTGTGTGGATTCATTCTTTTCTTTACAGACCAAAATTTAAGCAAAACTAATACATGTATAATCAATCCTGAGGTTATGTAACTTCCCCTGAGGGATGGACTATGGCCTTCCCACCCCAAATCATTTAATTCCTAATGTTCCATCCTTGTAATTATAGTCAAAGGAGGAATCAATATATTCTTTACTGAAGTGGATCTGGGGTCCTCAGGGCAGTCCCCATAAGATGTATTCTTTTTGTTCCTGCCAATAGTCATTGTGTTCCTGCTGCCTCAGGCCTTTGGCACATCTGTACGGAGCTCAGATCTTTCTGTAACTGTGGCGGCCCTCTCCTTTCTGCTTTTAGGTCGTTGCTCACTTCCTTAGGCTTTGTTATCCTCAGGCCCCTGCTTCATATCCTCCCCAGCAATGTCACTGTCTGGAACTACTGTGTCATTTCATTATGGATATCTCCCATGACAGTAAGATCCTTGCTGGGGTTGATAGCCTTGGTCAGTACTTGTTGAAATAGGGTGCGTCCCCAGCACCCCGGCCGCCTGCTAGCTCATGCCCGAAATAACAACACACAAATTGTATTCTTTTAAACACCGCTTGCCTATTAGATCTAGCCCCTTCTCGGCTAACTCTCGCACCTGGACTAGCCCATTTCTAATAATGTGTGTAAGCACCCCAAGGTGTGCTTACCGGGAAGATTCTAGCCTACGTCCATCCTGAGTCGGAGCTTCATCGCGTGTGTCTCTGAGAGCAGAGCTATCTCGCGTCTGTCTGAGGAGTCTTACCTCACTTCCTCTTCCTCCTGTTTACTCCTCCCACCTATGTTTTAACCTATCAGGGCAAGCAGTTTCTTTATTTAATTAACCAGTGAAATCAACAGATTGATATATGACACTCCCACATCAAGTACTGACCACCCATCCCCTTCCGCCATGTCACCTATGACATGTCACTGTTGAGCTCAAGTGTGAGTGCGACTTAGCCAGCCAAGAGGCTGTTTTGGAGGCTGAGTGGCCGCACGCTGATGTGAAGGCAGAGGCAGGCAAGGGTGATCTAGAAGACCACGCACGTCCAAAGCGGGTACCCAGTAGGAAAGTCTTTAGGCAAAAGTATCCAGACCTCCAAGACTGCAATGTGGCATGAGTAAAGGGA